ATCAGATTGTAATACAAGAAACACTTATTGATTTACAAAAACCAATAGATGTCATTTTATACAATTCGTCAAAGTCTAATAAATACTTGTGTAAAAATCTCAAAATAGCCTTAATGTACCTAATATCATACCCTCAATACGGATGCGAAGAGAATTACATGATTGAAAGCGTAGATGATAATAAAAAACAGTTTCATATCCTTACTACTGATAATTACAAGAGACAAAAAATGCTTAGATTGCTTGAAAGGAATAGAGATCTTTTCGGAGAATCTGTTCTACAGCTGGGAAAAGCTATCGATGTTGAACACGAAATTAAGTTAACAACTGAAGAACCGGTACGTTTACGCGCTTATAGAAATTCACCAAAAGAAAAAGAAATAATACTACAACAAGTAAAAGAAATGTTGGATGCAAATGTTATCGAAGAAAGTAAATCACCATATAGTTTTCCTGTAGTATTGGTTAAAAAGAAAAACGGGAAAATTAGATTTTGTGTCGACTACAGAAAACTAAATTCTATTACAATCAAAGACAGACATCCTTTACCATTGATTAACGAGGCTCTCGCAGCTCTTGAAGGAAGTAAATACTTTACTGTTATGGACCTATTAAGTGGATATTGGAATATTCATGTAAAAGTCTCAGATAGACCCAAGACAGCATTTATAACGCCTGATGGCTTATATCAGTTTAAAGTAATGCCGTTTGGTCTTACCAACGCACCGGCGACATTTCAACGATATATGCAAAAAGTTTTACGAAATGTATTATATCAGTTTGTCGTTGTGTATTTAGATGACATAATAATATTTTCCAATACATTTGATGACCATCTACGACACGTTGAAAATGTCTTAAAATTAATCCGAGAATATGATCTACGATTAGGCATAGAAAAATGTGAATTTCTTTGTAAAGAAGTAAAGTATTTAGGACATATAGTTTCATCGGATGGAATAAAGCCAGATGAAGACAAAATAAAATCAGTTAAAGCATTCCCGATACCTAAGAAAGTTAGAGATGTACAAAGCTTTCTTGGACTAGCAAATTACTATAGAGTGTTTGTACAAGATTATGCTTTTGTAGCCGAACCATTAACAAACCTGTTGCGCAAAGATGTTAAATTTAATTGGGATATTAAATGTCAAAAAGCATTTGACGAACTTAAAAATAGATTAATTACGGCCCCAATACTAGCACAATATCAAGAAGGTGCCCCTATTGAAATATTCACTGATGCTTGTGGCTATGGCATGTCAGCAATACTAGGACAAATTCAAAATGGTAAACATGTCGTCATCAGTTACAACAGTAAAATGTTTAATAGTGCACAACTAAACTATGGTATCACAGAAAAAGAATGTTTAGCTATAGTATGGGCTGTTGAAAGGTATCGACATTACATATATGGCGAACATTTTGTGGTATATAGTGACCATAATCCACTACAATATATTAGAAATTTGAAAAACCCAAACAGAAGATTAATGCATTGGAGAACAATACTCGATGAATATGACTTTGAAGTGAAATATAAGAAAGGAAAATTACATAACAATGCTGACGCATTATCAAGATATCCATACGAGAAACCAGACGATTGGGAACCAGTAATGCCAGTACTAATAAATCCTACAATAAACATAATAGAGAAACAAGATAGTGATAAATGGTGTAAAGAATTAAAAGAGAAAATAAAAAATAATCAACAAAGTAAAAGCTTAAGCAAATTCATTATTGAAAATGAAATTCTATATAGGATATGTTATGATGATAATAGAAATAGGAGGCTACAGTTATGTCTTCCTAAAGAATTAAGACGACAAATCCTACAAGATTTACATGACAATGAGTTATCCGGAGCTCACTTAGGATTTGAAAAGACATATGGAAAAATCAAAGAGAGATTTTTCTGGCCTCACTGCGAAAAGTCAATCAGAAAATACGTGAACAACTGTGAGTCATGTCAGTTGAATAAGGTCGACAATAAAGTCGAGAAAGGAATGCTGCAACCTATCGATGCCAATGAACCATTTGAAATTGTCGGAGTAGACATACTTGGGCCTCTCTCTCCGACGTCAAAAGGCAGTAAATACATAATAATAATGATTGACTTATTCACAAAATGGATGGAGACAAAGGCAGTGAGGAATGTACAAGCCATTACTATAGCGAAATGGTTTGTAGATGAAGTATTGGCAAGACACGGCGCCATTAAAAAAGTGTTAACAGATAATGCCAGATACTTTATATCAGACTTTATGGAAGAAGTCTTTAAGTTGACAGCCTCCAAACATGTGAAAACCACACCATATAGTCCACAATCGAATGGAACTGCAGAAAAGGCATGTGGGACTGTAGCTATGATGCTTAAACATTATGTTCAAGATAATGTTACCAATTGGGACCAGTACTTACCCAAAGTAACATTCTCGTATAACGTTAGTAATCATAAAGCTACCAAAGTTTCTCCTTTTTTCTTACTATATGGAAGAGAACCAAAAGTACCAATTGACGTATCTTATGATCTACCGCGTGATTTTGCATTTGGTACTAACTATTTAAAGTATATGGAGGAGACAAGAAGATTGGTTCAAATAAGAATTATAGAGGCTCATAATGATGGTAAATTCCGTTATGATGCTAAACATCGCGATGTAGTATTTGAGGAGGGTGACTTGGTGTCACTACATATTCCTCACAGAGAGATTGGTCTTAGTACAAAATTACTAAGCCAATATATTGGCCCTTATAAGATAATTACGCGGCACAGTCCACTTGTATACACTGTCCAAAGTGTACATAATCCAAGGAAAAAGTTTAAGAAAGTACATATAAGACGATTAAGAAAATGGAACAATGAAACAATTCATGAATTGGACGGCATTGATGAAGTAGATAGTAACAATGCTAAACATAATACTACACAAAATGACAATGAAAATCAACTGGACGATGAAATAAATGATAACACGGAAAAAGAAACAAAGCACAATGATGATCAGAAAACGGACAATGATTAAAATTTTATTATAATGCATGGTTTATTGGTATTTTAGATTAAAGTTTATATAATGCATGCATTCTTTTTAAGGTGAAGGGATTTTATAGTAATATTTTATAAATTTGTAAACTAATGTGTACATGAGTTATTAGTGTTACTGATTTTACACATCTGAGGACAGATGAAGACATGAAGGGGCGGAAATGCAATAGTGGGTCAAATCAGCAAAATATTTGACTATTAAATAAGTTTTGTTTTTATTTAAATAATTAAAAACATAATTATTACATAAGCTAAATTATTGAAAACTTTCCCTATAATAAACAAATGCTTATATACACTAATATTTCAACATTAAATAATTTTATATTGAAGTCAAGGATATATTGTAAGGGTATTTTATTTGTTATACTCTGAAAAATTATTTCAAAAATTATTCTTATTTTTATTTGTTAAAAATTTATAACAGCACTAAAATGTTTTACAAAAAACCTAAAGGTAAACACCTTGTTTTTAAGAAAACTTTATCCAATATTTTGTGTTAAATAGAGTGTTAAAATAATGCACTAAAATGTTATAGAAAAAATTAAATAGTAAACTCCCAGTTTTAATAGTGATTAAATCCTGACTCAATGTGACACACTTTCTCCTCACGTACACTTTAGTATAAATAGAGGTGTCTCTCAGACACCAAAATCAGTTCTCCACTTGGAGTCATACCGTGTGTATTACTTTAAAGTGTTTCAATAAAAGTATTTGCATATTACTTTGTGTGTGTTTACTTTCTCGACGCGGACCAACCGTTGGACATCACAAGGGACGCCTTTTGATAACTCCATAACCACGCGGACGTTAAACAACTATTACTTAAGTAAATATTTTTATTATGAGAACTCCGGACTCCGTATCCGTAAACGGACGACTCTTAGGATACCTTAGTATAACCGTTATTGAGTAATCTTTATTAAGTAAACCATAATTTATAACCTTATGTCCTGTAACCCTTGACGGGACTGTGTCCCTTGACGGGCCTGCGACTCGACGGGACTGTGTCCCTTGACGGGTCTGTAACCCTTGACGGGTCTGAAACCCTTGACGGGTCTGTAATCCTTGACGGGTCTGAAACCCTTGACGGGTCTGAAACCCTTGACGAGTCTGAAACCCTTGACGGGTGCCAGACCCTAGATGGGTGCCAGACCCTGGATGGGTGCCAGACCCTAGATGGGTACCAGACCCTGGATGGGTGCCAGACCCTAGATGGGTGCCAGACCCTAGATGGGTGCCAGACCCTAGATGGTTGCCAGACCCTAGATGGGTGCCAGACCCTGGTTGGGT